CGTAGATAAGTGTGTTATAGTCTACCTAGATGATATTCTGATCTACAGCGAGATCCGGGAGCAGCACTTAAAGGACCTCGAAGCAGTTTTCACGCTACTGCAGAAGCATCGGCTGCTCAGGAAGGGGTCTAAGTGCGTGTTTTGAAAAGACCGCTTAAAATTTATGGGACACGGTATTTCCACCAAGGGTGTTGAAGTGGACCCGCGCAAAATCGAGAGAGTACAAGCCTTGCTACAGTCTAAGAACCTGTAGGAGCTGCAACTTTTTTTAGGGTTCATCAATTATGTGCGGGGATTCATCCCGAATATGGCGGGTGTACACCTTATTACAGGAATTACTACTACAGGAATCCCATGATAGTACCATTTCAGGGCACTTCGGAGTGGAGAATACACGGCAGCAGTTGACCAGATATTATTTCTTGCCCGACATGCAAGGGGACGTGAAGCGGCATGTGGTTTCGTGCAGAACCTGCCAAACCATGAAATCATCAAAGTAGAAGCCAGCTGGACAGTTGCAGCCAATTCCGCCACCTGAGCGTGCGTGGCAGCAGGTGACGATGGACTTCGTCACGGGACTCTGCCTGCCAAGGACGGTTGTAATAACGCGATATTTGTCATCGTCGATAAGCTGACAAAGATGGCTTACTTCGCCGTCTGCAAGACAAGCATCTCAGCTGAAAAAACAACCCCTCTTTTCATCTCAACCGTCGTTCGCCTCCACATGATTTCATCTGCCATCATTTCGGACCGTGACACGAAATTCACCAATAATTTATGGTGCAACCTCTAGGAACAGTTTGGCAGGCGCATGCACTTCCCCTTCGCATACCACCCTAAGACTGACGGGCGAACCGAACGGGCCAATCAGACGATGGAGCAGTTGATTTGCGCCACCTGCGATGACATGGCCGACTGGGAGCAGCAACTACCACTGATTGAGTTCGCGTAAAACAACACCCCGTCACCCACTACACGACAGCCACCATTCTATCTGAATTACAGGCAGAACCCCACAGTACCAATCACGCCCAACATAGAAAATCATGTACCTCAAGCCCAACAGTTCGCCGAAATATTACAGAATGTCCGGGAGCGAGCAGCCGAAGCCATTAAGCGTGCGAATGTTATTTCTAGGCGCAATGCCGATCTACACCGACGCGCAGTAACTTACCAGGCTGGAGATTTAGTACTACTCGACACCCAAAATCTTCGACCGCCCATCATTCCAAAACTCCGTCCTCGCTACTGTGGACCATTTATCTGCTAGAATACTAGAATCTAAATAGGAGGGAAGCCATAGAATGGCGTGAGGTTTTAGGCTAGGAGAAAATATCGAGAGAGAAGAGAATGAGATTAGAAGAGAGAGGGATACAAGGAGGGAGTTGTACCCTCTACAGTAGGTTCCAGTAACACCTACCAAGTCTACCATAATATATATATGAAATATATAATTTAACACACCCCTTAGGCTTGGTAGCTGAAAGCCCACCACACACATAGCATACTAAGCCACACACCCTCTAGCACCCCCATACTCAGCAGTAGCGACGGCTACTCCCGCATGGTCAACCCCACGGTGCGTGAGCCGGGGGGACGGCGACAGCGAGGGCAGCAGCTGCAACGGCGGCGACGGCGGCAGCGTCGACAGCGGCGGCGTGGCCAGCGGCACCAGCTGCGGCGTCGGCGGCTTTGACGACAGCTGCCAGCGACAGCGGAGCTCGCAGCACTCGGCGGCGTGGCCAGGCTCCGCGACGGTGGGACGGCCGGTGCGAGTCAGCCGTCGGCTGCGGCGAGGAAGAGGGGACGCAGGGGAGGGGGGAGGGGGCTTCAGCAGCGGAGCCTGGGAGCGTGCCACCCCGTGTGGCGTGCTGGCTGCATGCGGGCGTCCTGGCCAGCACTAAGACGGGGCGCTGGCCGCTGCCGACCATGCCGTATTCGCGCTGGCAGCACGTCGCCACGGCAGCACGACGGCATCGTCACGCTGCCATGGCTCGACATCGACGACGCCGTCACGCTGCCACGGCTTGACGTCGACGGCGCCGACAGCGCGACGCCACAGCAGCGCGTCGAGACAGCCGCGGCAGCACGACGCGGCCGGCGGTACGACGACGCCGCCACAGCAGCACGACACGGCCACCATGGCAGCTCAAGAGAGAGAGGAGTGCGCGGCGGAAGTGAGAGAAGAAGGTCCAGCTGGTTGAACCTGCTCTGTTACCATGTTAGAATACTAGAATCTAGGTAGGAGGGAAGCCATAAAATGGCGTTAGGTTTTAGGCTAGGAGAAAATATCGAGAGAGAAGAGAATGAGATCAGAAGAAAGAGGGATACAAGAGGGGAGTTGTACCCTCTACAGTAGGTTTCAGTAACACCTACCAAGCCTACCATAATATATATCTCAAATATATAATTTGACATCACCATCAGCCATATAATATCTCCTGTTACAGTCCATCTACTGTTACCGACCATCTGGAACGTCAGCCCATCATTCCACGTACGATTAATTCGACCATACATCGCTAGCACCAGTAAATTACCATGTCACCAAGCGAATTTGAACATCCAACCTCTCGTCGAGCCAACCGTCGAACCTGCGAAGGTTCTCAGCCATTGGATCAAGGACCCTTGAGGGGCTCGCGTGGTCGAGTTTCTGATATATTGGAAGGACCTGATGGCCCTGGAAAATAGTTGGGTGCCCCTGGCATAGATCGAGAATTACCCGGTGTTACGAGTCTGTCTCCAGCCACGCAGCGCGACATCGACGGTCTTAGCTAAGACTTAGCTAAAACCATACCTTGGAGGGGGGAGGGTGTAAGGAAATGGTTTTTCTGTGTTACATGTTTTAATTAGTAAAGCGTACACTGCTAAAACGGGGTTGCCGCGCAGTTCTGCAACGAAATTCAAATCACGGTACCCAAATGTGGCCTCCTGACGAGTTACATGCATTTTGCCTGCCTTGCTGTTTCATACATAGATCTGGGCGTTTCACGCCAATTTACGAACCACACGTCGCAGCTCTGCCGAGCCACGACCGTGTGCTCTAGGCTAGCTATATCCATGCTCGCTGTTTTGATGCGACTCAGTTTCATTGTTTCCTTGTTTCTCAATCCTTTGCGTGTCATTACAGTATTAGAGTATCTGCATTACACTTCACTGTGAGGCGGTGTTTTGGAATGAGAACCAAGTGAAGATTGACTAGAGGGTCACATACCTTGACTCGCTGGCACTCTGTTGCTGGTTGTCGCCTTCCTTCCTTGACAATACACGCGTTGTCGGTTGACCTGCTTAGAAATCAGCTCTGTGCGTAAAGTGTTTAGTCTTGAGAAAGAATTTCTCTCAACAGACCGGTCTATCTCCACGGGGTCAGTAGTCGCAGATTAATTTGGTCCCTACCTGAACCAGTTGATAATGCCAGCATTCCAGCCTTTTCCGTGATGCTCAAGTGCTGTCGTACAGGCTATACAAGACCAAGCAACCGCTTGTTGTCGGGAAACGACACTCATATAACTGCTAGAGCGTGTGCAGAGTGGGATTTCGAGGGATGTCGACGGACATCGACAGATGTCAAGGGATTTTTGGTCATCGGATTCTTTTCATTGATGGTCGAAATCTCTCGACTTTCCTCGTCAGATGTCAACAACACCTAGCCTGCGGTGTTTTCTCACCAAGTATTTTCACAGGGGGCGCCGCAGAGGGGTGTTCACCCCCCGAAAGCAGCTCCTGAAGACCAGATCCGGATACCCTTGAAAAACAATTTGAACTTGGATTTCTATACTAAACGTTTACTGGTCGATTTAGTGTTTCTCGAGTAAGGACTCCCGACGTCAGCTTAGGCAGTGCTCAAAGTATTTGCCCGCGTGGAGTCTTCCAAGCTTAAGCCGTAGGAACAAGGGGGTACTGTCTACGCACTCAGAAATGGTCAGGGTGGAAACAAAACTTCTTCTGCCGCCCGGTTTCAGGGGGTGACACACCGCGAGCCAGGCGGACTATTGACACGCCCTAAATTTCCCTTTCCGTTGGGTTGGGACATCAGCCTTTCGGACTCATGTGGACAGGAGGATATCTAATTTAAACCGTGGAACTGCGAAACAGAAAACAATGATCTCTATACACGACAAATTTGCGTCAATCAAGCTCGCGTCACCTGTCCAGAAGGGATTTACACCATGGCGTAACGTTCTTGCTCAAAACCTTACCCAACCGTTTTAGATCCTTTAAAGTACATTCGGAAGCGCAGAGAATCTCAACCAACCGCAACCGAACGTAGGCGCGGATTTACACCATCCAATCCCATCATTCCATCATTCCCACCCCAACCTACTGTAAAATCAATTTACCTCACCGCACCTCAATCCACCCCAGTAGTCTCCATCCAACCAGCAAGTCTGGTTACCGAAGCCAGGACTTTCGAAAATGTCACGCACCACACGGCTGGTACAGTAGTCAATCAAGAACGAGAACAAGAGGCACTGTACACTTCTGTGACGGCGCGCACACGCTGCGCGTCCCATCCAATAGAAGAGGAAAAGTTCACCAACGCAGCCAATAATCATCCAGCTACACTCCTTAGGAAACCCCATTTCAGTTTCTGCGAAACTTGCGCACTTCCGGTGTGCCTGCCGCACAGCAGGCACCAACCAGCCGGCCAGGCAGGGTGGTTTTACCGCCATTATTGGAGCGGATGTGTTCCTCTCTGCCACTGCTTGGCTCCTCCGCCAACCAGCAGCGCCTTGCAGTCCATCACCCCCTCCCCCCACCAATCCCCCACACACAAGCTTCCCCTTCACCTCCCCCCCACGCCGCCTGACCTGACAGCGCGACTCGCTAGCCTCCGCCAGGTCTCTTCGAAGAGAACGTCTGTTGCACTGTACATGGTCTACGGTTCGATTGGATGCCTCAAGTTCCAAAGCGGCGGAGGGGGACTGCACCGCTTGAATCACTACCCTCACCTCCTTCACCCTCACCTTACCTCCCCCGAAGGCACAACCCCAACATTCCAATTCCAAGGATCAAAGAAAATCCGTAGGGTTCATTCCACCTCTGATTATGCAATGAGTTAGCGATAATGTCTTCCGTAGGCCTCCCCTAGTCCAATAATTAGCCACTTTCGACAAGGAAGTCTCGGTATAGCTTGTGGTCACTTGAATAAGAAGTAAGGCGAAAGGCCACGACCTTAGAATTGACTTATGATGGAGGATTGGAGCAACAACCCGTGGCTGCTGAAAGGCGACGACGAGGGCTTCCACGTCGACGATTGCGTTTACGAAGAAGACGAAATCAGTTACGCCGTCGACGACGACGATTTGCTTCCCTGGGAGCAGCATGTGCGTTCAGACTGTCGTCTACGATTTGCCGACTCGTCGCGACTCGCTGTTTATTTATAATCTTCGCCCGAGAAATCCCGAATTGCTAGAGCCTCTAGGCTGAGTCTAGGTTCTCTGGAGGGCGTCCGTGAATTCTGTTCGCCTCGTGTAGAGCTCGAGATTTCTCAGGTGGCCGCTTACTTAGGCTAATCCAGCTACTAATCCAGCTACTAATCCAGGTAGTATTTCCGTGATTCTACCCTTATTCCGCCACTGTTTCAACCATCCATGAATTTCAACCACGTAATTAAATCTCCCTGTCTCGCTCCCCTCGAACTCCTTTCCTCCACCCTCCTCCACCTTCGTTTCCTGCTTCCCTCTTTTCCGAGGAGACGTCGACGTGTCCAGTCCGTGCGTGCGATTCTGTGAGCCGATTTTTTAGGCGCCTCCAAAATCGTTTCTATGACTTGAGAATGTTTTTTTTGCCGAGAGTTCCTTTTTGAGGGGGCGTCGACATGCGAACGACTCAGTGCTTCCTATCCGTCTCGTACTAGACCGATCCCTACCCGTCTCGCGCTGAACTGTATTCTAACCGTCTCGCGCTCCCACCACTCCGTTACCCTGTTTTCCGTCCTACCACGCTCTCCCCATTTCTTATGCTGTGTTCCAGCGAGGGAGTCGCACTCGCTCTTAGTGCCAGGTCGAGCGAGTCGATTGGGCGTCGCGACGGCGACGGTGTGCGCCGATTGTTCACTACCTTTCTGCCCCTACATCCCCGTTTTTGAGGCGCCTCAAAAATCGTTCACTACCTTTCTGCCCCTACATCCCCGTTTTTGAGGCGCCTCAAAAATCGTTCACTACCTTTCTGCCCCTACATCCCCGTTTTTGAGGCGCCTCAAAAATCGTTCACTACCTTTCTGCCCCTACATCCCCGTTTTTGAGGCGCCTCAAAAATCGTTCACCACCTTTCTGCCCCTACATCCCCGTTTTTGAGGCGCCTCAAAAATCGTTCACCACCTTTCTGCCCCTACATCCCCGTTTTTGAGGCGCCTCAAAAATCGTTCACCACCTTTCTGCCCCTACATCCCCGTTTTTGAGGCGCCTCAAAAATCGTTCACCACCTTTCTGCCCCTACATCCCCGTTTTCCGTCACACGCCTCTCACCTCTCTCGGGTGTCTCCCCTGCCAGGTCGAGCGAGTGCATACGGCGACGGCCATTGTGAAGGTGGCGCCGGTGTCCGGCGACCGCGCGAACCCTTCTTTGACCGCTCTGCTCCCATCCCCCCCTTTTCGTTTCCATGCTTCTCCGCTCTGTCCAATTCCTCCCCCCCCCGCCAGGTAGAGCGAGTGCACACGGCGACGGGCGTCGTTCAAGTGACGGTGTGCGGCGATCGCGCGAACCCGCCTCTGATAACTTACCATGACGTCGGACTCAATCGTAAGCGCGCTCCCTGCCTCCTTACTCATCTCTTACCTCTCCTCGCCCTGGAATGCCTTCCGCTTCCCCCCATCCCCCCACCCCCCTACCCTCCACCATCCGCCATCCCCCTTTCTCTCTCTTTCGCCCGTGGATTTTCCGCTTCCCCGTTGTCTTCTCCTTATGGCCTACTCCTGGCATATTCCGCTCTCAAATCCTCTCACCCGCCACGCTTCGCCCGTCCTCTCTTTTCCCTTGCTTCAGACTCCACCTGCTTTCAGGGCCTCATGCTCTGCGCGGACACTTCCTCGCTGCTTCTCAGAAACTTCTGCGTATTCCACGTCGACGCGCCGGGCCACGAGGTGAGGACGGTTATCCTCGGCGGTTGAAAGGGAAGCGGACTGTATTCCCGTGCTGGTGCGTCCGCTTCCTTTCGTGAGGCCAGTGTATATCGTGGGGTGGCTGGTCTGGTTGGTTGGGCAGTGGGGGGAGGGAAAGGGGACAGCGAAGGTGTTTCGGGGTTGCCCGCCGGGGGGGAGGGGGGAAAAGGGGGGAGCCGAGCTGAGAAACGGCGTTCGCGGGCCGCTGTCGCTGCTGGCGGGGAAGTTGGGGGTGCTGGGGAATGGTGGAGAAGGGAGATGCGGATGAACGGAGAGCGGATGAGCGGAGAGCGGATGTGGAGGGAGGCTCGTTTGGAACAGCGGAATGAGAGGATGCGGAATGGGAGGATGCGGAATGAGAGGATGCGAAATGGGAGGATGCGGAATGGGAGGATGCGGAATGAGAGGATGCGGAATGGGAGGATGCGGAATGGGAGGATGAGGCGGAGGACCCATTCTCATTCGTGCCCTCCCTTGACTCCCCCGCCCTTCCAACCCACCCTCAGGAGGACGCGGAGGAGATCCCTTCGTCCCAGCCGCTGCTGTCAGCGGACGACCTGGCAGAGCAGGTGGCGGAGGTCGCCAGGCACTTCGCCCTCGCTGAAGTCACCCTCCTTGGAGTCACAGCTGGCGCCTACGTCCTCACGCTCTTCGCAGTACGCACTTCGTTCCTCACCCCTCTCCCCCCCCGCACCCCCCCCACCCCCTACTCCCCCCCCGCACTTCCCCCCCCTACTCCCCCCCCCACTTCCTCTCCCGCCATCGCTTTCTGCTGGATATCGTGTTCTCGTTTCCGCACTGCTCTCATGCCTCACGTCGCCCTGCGCCTTTTTAGCGCACTCAAGTGCAGCCCCCATTGCCATCTGCTGTGATAATGTGTTCCCGCCTCCCCGCTCCTCCCATCTGTCCCTGGCGTCGCCCTTCGCCAACCCCCACAACCGCCTCCGCAGCTGTCCCACCCTCACTTGCTGTGAGGTCTCCTTTCTCTTAACCCTTCATCCCCATTCTCGTGTCCCGTCCTCCCCCCACCTAACACCCCGTCTCCTCTTCCCCCCCCCACCCCCCCCCCCCTCCCCCTCCTCCCCTCTCCCCCCCTTCTTCCCCCGCGCGCCCACAGCTGTCTCACCCTCACCTGGTGCGGGGTCTCATTCTCGTCTCTCCGCTTCTCTCCGCGCCCTCGTGGTCTGAATGGGCGTACAACAAGGTGAGGCGTGGACCATGGTGGTCAGTGAGCCATGCAGTAAGGTGCGCAGTGGGGCATGCAATATTGTGTGCTGTGAGGTGTACAGTTTTCACGTTCGCATCACAGCAGTTCTCCTGTTGTCTTAGTAACCGTTTTCTATTATTACTGCTGCACTTTTCCATCTACGAAAATCTTAAAATGTTATTTATCTCCTGGTTGGTGGGTGTTCTTTCGCGCCTCCCTTCAGGTAACAATGAACGTCCTCTCCTATTATGGCATGACGTCATACATCAAGGACTCGCTCTTTGACCGATACTTCTGCCCGGTACGTGCCTGCCCATCTGCATGTTCCCCTCGTTGAGGTCATCCATGCTTTCGTGTTCTCTCGTACTGTCTTCTCCCTCACAATCGCCTCCCATCCCCCCTTCCCCCCCACCGCCCTCTGCTCTCACTAATCCTCCTCGTTCTGCCGGGTTCCTTGATCTCCCTGTCTCTTTCTCCCCGTCGCCTCTCCACCACGCTTATTCGCATTCTCTCCCTTGTCTATAGTTCACGCCGAGTGGGGCTGCCACGGACCAGCCTCTGACGCGGCTACGCTGTCCTTATCCCTCCTTCTCTCCTTCTCTCCCTCCCATTCCGATCCTCGCCCTTCTTCCATCCTCATCCTCCTCCGCCTCCTCGCCTCCTTGTGTGGTGCAGGCCAGGTGGGGCTTCCACGGTCCAGCCTCAGATGCTCTCATGTCCTTCAGAAGGGTGAGTCTGCTGGGAGTTAAGGAATCGCGAGAGCTAGCTGGAAGGTTGGGATGGGCTTGCTCGGTGTGGTGGCATCGATGAATGGCTGAGTGTGTTTGTCTCTCGCTCACATGCCATGCAACCCTCTCTGCTCCGCACTCCCTGTCGCGGCACCCACCCTGTCCCTGGCTTTTCTTCCCAGGAGCTGGACTACCACGAGCCAGAGAATCTGATGCGCTACTTCTACGCCATTCAGAGGTGAGGGTGTCTGCTTGTCTTCCGTGTGATAGTTATCGTTTTGAGACGTCTCAAAACGAGATTACCACGAGCCTGAGAATCTGATGCTCTACTTCTATGCCATTCAGAGAGGTGAGGTTGTCTGCTTGTCTTCCTGTACCGCATGTCCTATACTGGTTCGTGGGAGTACGCTTCATGCCTTTTCCACAGTGCCAGTGGAGTGGAGTGGCTTGTTCGTCTCAGCATAGCCTCTAGCTTTCCTTTTGGTTAGAATCACTGCTTCAAAGCAGAAACCTCCTGCCTCTCCTCTCCTCCCCGCTAGTGCTGGTGCTGGTGCTGGTGCTGGTGCTAGTGTTGGTGCTAGTGCTAGTGCTGGTGCTAGCCATAGGTTGCATCTCCATGGCCCCAACGTCCCTGCACTCACTTCCTTATGCCCTCTCAACTTGCCCTTTTTTTCTTGCTCTCCCCCTTTCCCTCTCCTGTCTATCGCCATGCCAACAGGCGCAGGAACCTCCTGCCTCTGCTCTCCTCGCTGCAGGTGCCGGTGCTGCTGGCAGTGTGCGACATGTTAAAGCCCTAATGACCCTGCACCCTTATTTCCATGTGCCCTCTTCCCTTGTCCCTCCCGTGTCTCTCCCCGTCCCAACAGGCGCAGGAACCTCCTGCCTCTGCTCTCCTCGCTGCAGGTGCCGGTGCTGCTGGCAGTGGGCGACATGTCCCCTTTCAACCTCCAGGCACGGACGGCCTTTCACCACCTGCGAGCCAAGGTCTCGGCTGGTCCCTCGGAGTCCAAACTCAAATGGGAGGATGAGAAGGAAAGTGGGGTGGAAGAGGAGGAAGAGGAGGGCGGGAATGCGAGGGGCAGAAGAGGTCGGGAAAAGCAGGCGGCAGCCGTGTCAAGAGACCATCAAGGGGGGGCTGTGGGTGACCGAGTCAGGCGGAGAGGAGGGAGGATATGCGAGTGGAGAGAGTGCGAGGAGAGGGGGGGTAACGATGGAGTCGCGTTGGCTGGGGAAGACCAGGTGGGGCGAGGGTCAGAGGAAGGGTGGACGGGGGGGGCGGAGAGGGACTGGGAAAGGGAGCAGGAGAGTGAGAGTCAAGGGAGCAGCACACGGATGGAGGATTGGCAGAAGGGCGGAGGGTGTGTGCTGTGGGTGGAGGTGGAGGCGTGTGGGTCTCTGGTGACGGAGGAGCGACCGCACACTCTCTTCCCCTCTCTCTGCCGCTTCGTGGCTAAACTGCGCCCCACACAGTACCAGCAGTGGCAGCAGTGGCAGCAGCTCCCAGCCGCACAGTGGAGTTTGGCGCCCTGCCCCTTCCAGAGAGGTGCCACTGATGCTGAGGCGTCTGGTGGGCTGGCAGAGGAACGGGGAAAAGTCGAGGGGGAGGCGCAAGAGGGCGAGCAGGATCGGCAGCAGCAAAATCAGTTGCAGCAATGGCAACGAGTGCATCGGCAGCAGCAAGTGCACTCAACGGCGCCATTGTTAAGAGATCGAAGCCACCGTGAAGCTCCCTTCTGCATCCCTCTGTTTTCACAACACTTGACTCAGGAGCAACATCAAGAGAAACAGCAGCAGCATCGAGAAAAACAGCAGCAGCAGCAGCAGCAGTCGAGTGTGGTTCAGTCCAGCCAAGCATGGCCATCCCACACCTCTAAAGCTGCCAACCTTGTCTGCACCATCCCTTCCCCCATCACGTCACACCCCTTGAAGTCACCGTCCCTCTCAGGCTCCCAGCTGCCTTCTCCCTCCTCCATCCCTCCTCTTATCTCCCCTTCCACCTCCACTCCTTCCACCTGCACCCCATCTGTTACCACCCCCTCCACCAGTGCTCAGTCTGTCTGCACCCCCTCGGCCCGCACCCCCCTCTTCTGGACTCCTGGCTCCACTCCAGCAGACCTGTCCCCGGCTCGCATGCTCCCACCATCCGCTGTCAATCACCCACCCTTGGTAAATCGCAGTGGTAGCGTCTCCGAAGCTGGGTTGGTTGCACTCCTACTACCATCGGAAGCAGGAGCAGCTGGGAAGGGTGTTGGGAAGCAGATGCTTTCGAGAGGGTGCCGGTGTGTTGGTGTGCCGGGGAGTGAGGTGGAAGGGTTACGCAGTGGGGAGGAGGTATCAGGGGAGCGGGAGCAGTTGTTGCGGCTGGAATGTGAGAGGGCGAGACTGCGGCCGGTTCGCATCCATGGCGTGGCGAGGCGGTGGGAGGAGGTGGTGCCGCAGACGGGCTTTGAGATGTGTGGGTCGCCCACAAGCTGAGTGTGGCACTGGTGTGCTTGGAAGCCATGTGGGGTGGCTGCATGTCTTCCTACAAATGAACAAGTGACTTTTGAGTCGACTCAAAAGTCTTCCTCCCAATAAAGAGGAATAAAGACGAGGGCTACAAGCTCTCTCGGCGGCACAAGCGGCCTCCGAACGAGCCCTCTCAGCACAAGCTCCCTCAGCGGCACGAGCTCCCACATACAAGACTCGGTGTGTTTCACCGTTTGCTAAGAAAGCGAAAGCGCCTCAATCGCTCCGCATGGAGCATTTGTAGTGGCTTGCTGTGTAGGGTTGCTGGCTGCATAATAAGATGTGCCTAATGTAATGTCCTGTATGAAACATCTGAGAATCTAATAAATATTTTATTATATGGTAGTATAGCCTCATGCATGTCAACTTCAAATCACTGTTCTCAAGGAACAAAAAGGGCTGCTGAAATTAAACTAGCTAGTAAAAAAATTGAAGTACTTCCATGTACTGTACATACATACTTTAGTTACATTGTACACCAACGTTCTTGCCCATCAAAACTGCCTCTCTAGATCCGTGAGCACGAGGGGACGCCGCTGGGGTGTGGAGGTGCTGTGAAGATGTGGAGGCGTGGAGGCGTGGAGAGGAGATGCTGCGGAGACGATGGGGTGGGTCACGCAGAAAGCGACAGCTCTGTGAGCGAGAGAACGATGTGCCTGAGTGAAGACGGCTTGGTAGATTGCAAGCATTAGCCAGCAAGGCCCGTGAGAGATGGCGAGCGAGCTGGACGTGACTCTAGTCTCGTTCCCTCCAAAAGGCCCCCACGTTCAAGGCAAGAGAGTCGTGGGAGGGAAGCACTCCTCCCGCCCCCTCGACGCAGACGCATGGGACCACTTCAGTTGTGCCCCGCCACAAGACCAGGAATCTTTTCTCTCGACCGTCGATGCGGCAAAGTAGAGACCCTGGTCGTCGATGTCTGTCAAGTCTGCATGCCAGCGTTGCATATCATCTTGATGGTATCGAAGATGGGAGTTGGTCGATTCCAGTGGAATCTTCTCTCATGAAGTGTAAATGCTGCCGCCACCTGCATTTCCTATTGGCTGCAGCCTTGAGTTGAGCTCCAGGGTGTCCAAATCCAGCCACACAGCTGTCGAGGTGGAATTCGCTCTGGTAGAGGCAAAAATCTATCAACATCTGCGATAGCATGGACGCATTTCGAAACGGGGTCTGATACACGCTTTAAATAAATGAATCCCCTATAAAACGAGAAAGGTCCCGGGTATTGTAATTCCACGTTTCCTTAATAGACTCACCCCCATTTTTTTGTAGTATACGAAAAAAGACCCTAGGGTCATATATCCGGGCGTTTACGGTATGTTGGTCCCTGCACACCTCCATGTCTCCCCGGACCCCGGCGCCTCGAAATCAGGAGGTGCAGCATCACCATGACATCACGCTTGGTGCGTGACACGGTGGGGTGGGAAGAACGTTGGACCTGAACCGCCTCATGGCCCACCTCTACCGTATTCCCCCGTATACAGCACCCCGCAAAATTGAACGCCCATGGGTGGCTTGAGCGGACATGGGTGCTTTGTTAAATTGGATATACATAACACCCGTCTTTTTTGCCTGCAAATATTTGAATTCCCCCCCGAAACCTTCAACCTTGCTTTTGAGTAGCATAGACGAGCGCTACCCTCTTTTCCAACCACTGCTGCTGTGCCATCACCTGAGCGTGAGAGCGAGTGGGAAACTTATCAAGGAACCTATATAGCGCGGTTCAAGGAGTGCGACACAGAAAATTTCGAGACCCATTTTGACTGCCCGAACTAGTGTGTCCCTTCCCTTGAATCCTCGAAACTAAATGTTCGCTAGTTGACTTTTGGGTCGCGCTCGCCTTCGCGCCAAGAAAATCGTGCCATGCCTCCGTACGTGATGTCGAGGGGGAAAACAAAATACAGCAGAGTACGACAGTGCACTTTGTTTAGGAAAAACAATTATCACATACGCATGTTCCACAACACCCAGACCTTATACAAAAGTAGCCTCTAATTACACCCTCCTCAAAATTTAGAGGCATTTTGGTTACCACCCTAGGGTGCTTTATACGGGGGAATACGGTATGTCTCCCCGGCTCCTCCTCCACGCCTCAATGTCTCCCGGGCGCCTTCACATCACATCGCACTCACGCTTGCGGGAATTGGGTTGCGGCTGAGGAGGGGCAGGCAGGGCTTTCATTGTAAGCTTGCTCACAGGTGCGTAGGTTTCTACATAATCTACTCCTTCCATTTGAGTGTAGCCCTTAGCAACGAGCCTTGCCTTGAAGCGCTCGAGTTGACCCGAGTCTCCCATTTTGATCTTGAAGACCCACCTCACTCCAACCAGCCTCCTCCCTTCGAGAAGCTCCACAAGTACCCATGTCCCCCTTTCCTCTAGCTCCTCTTGAATGGCTTTCCTCCACTCCTTGTGATATGGCCCCGAAATTGCTTCTTCAATGGTGACCGGTTCATCGGTTAGATTGTACTTTGCTCGTGTTGCCTTGGAAACTAATGCCGTTGCCGAGATGGTGACGAGGAGGTGGGTGTGGATGTCATTGAAGCACGTCATGATGGCGTTGGCATATTGAGGGCCAACCACGTTTGGATTCGGCTTCTTGATGCGTCGTCCTCTCCCCATCCTCTCCTCCTCCGGTTCGGGTTCGGCTTCCTTTGGCGTTGACGTTGCCTCATTATCCATCTCCTCTTCTTCCTCTTGTCCAATTAAGATGGCTCTTTCCTCGAGAAGCCCTTCAATATCTTCCACCTCCTTCTCATTCTCCTTAGAGCCCATGAGCCTCCAAGGCCCACATGAGTCCGTGGTACTCGTGGCTCCCTCCATGGGCTCATGCTCCTCCTCAGCTTCCTCAACTTCCACCTCATTGCTTTCAGCTCCCACACCGTCGTCCTTGTCGTTGGGTGCCTCGGAAGTCTCCACACTCTCCTTGGGGTTCAGAGTTGAGGCATCATGCTTCCATGCTCCATCAAACACAACCTCCTCCGAATTGGTTTCAGCTCCAAGTCCCTCCATTTCGGCTTCAAAGAGTGATGTCTCGCTGATTGGAGAAGTCGTATGCATGTGGTTCACAGTGTCGTCCTTCCTTCCTTTCTTCCAAGTCATGTAGTTGACTTCTTCATAGAAGACGCCATCGCATGTCGCCACCAACTTCCCCGTCTCCACATCATGCACCATCCATCCTTTGCTCACAGTAGATGGTCCCAAGTGAACGCCCCACTTGGTCCTTGAGAGAAGCTTGTGATCGGGTCCCGCCGGCTCACGATATTGCACCATGCATCCCCACACCCTAAGGGACCCAATGTTGGGCTTCCTCTTGTAGAAGGAGAACATTTTACGATATTTCAAGATTACTAAGCACCATGCTTTGAAAAATTTCCTGGCCATCTGGCTAGCATGGAAAATCACCCGTGCTAGAATTACAACCTCCCTCCCCCCTCCCCCTCCTCCCCCCTCCCCCCCCTCCCCCCTCTACCCCCCTGCCCTACTTTCGCACCCCTAACCAATTCTCCACGCATTATGAAGGCGCGACACGTGGAATTCTCACAGCCGCATAAGTGCAGGGCGGTCAAACCAATCATACCCCCTGAATTTCGCCTTAGCCAGGTGGCACACTGTCTCTCTAACTAAGTTGTATGCGTTTCCGCCGCGATGGACAAGCAAAGTGTCGAACTTGGTGTGTTGGTGAGGAACAGCAGCAGCAGCAAGTGTATGTTCCGTATTCTGTTCCATCGTTTCTTTCATCCACGCCCTTCCTGCTTGTACTCGAACTACCCACTGGTTCTATGGATTTGTAGGGAGCCCAAAAAAATACACTGAAATTCATAGTGGAAGTTCAAAGCAATCCTGAAATAATGAGAGATTTTTCACGGAATGCTGATTTTTGAGGGACTTTAGTGACGTAAATCTTGAGACCGCTGGGTCTTGGAAAACGAAAAATTAGCCATGATCATAATATCGCAGAATTTTAAGGGCGGTCACCCTTGTAATCACCAATGTTCGGTCTGGGCAAGTAGGGCGTATCAAATTTCCGAAGTCCATACTATTTGCTAGACTTCCGCCGACTCCAAGCTTGGAAGTCAGTTCGGGATTCAGGGAATCTGGAGAGGCCATTGTTGCTTGCACACGCACACACGGATGGTCTCATGCCCATGCGTGCTCGTGGCAAAAACCCACAGACGAGAGGTAGTGTAAGAAAAAAAGGTTTGACGCAGTATCGAACAGCAGAACCAAGGGTGTGAGGAGATCGATCGCTTTGCGTGGAAACCCCGCGAGGGGGCAACCATGCCTGTCGCTACCAGCGCTTATGTTTGGATGCTCGGAGCTCTGCTGAGATTTCGCCCTAAAATCCCACGGTCCGAAGCTGCGGTGCCCTGTATTTTCTAGTCCACGGGAAATGCTCGGATCCCACTAGATGGTGGTGTGTGTGGGGGAAGTACCCTTTCCCAACTAGTAGCAGCCTGGTATGTTTTATCCTAGCACCTAGGATGGGAAGAAGTGGGGACCGGGGGGATGGGTATAGAATAGGGGAAAATTCCGGGTCACAAAAAAATCGACTCGGAGTTTTTCGGGTCGACTTAAGGTCTTCCCGGATCTAGTCAGGGCTGGATGACAAAACATTCGGGAAACCTGGGTTGTCTCTACATCAACTTTCTGTAAAGTCAGGGCAGCGTGTTGCCCTGATAACATACGCCCTGGTCGCCCAGCCTCGCATGACCCACTCCGCCGCCCTTCGAAGCTGTGTCTCTCCATGCCAACGCCAGGGGGCTGTTCGCCTGTGAAATTTTCAATGGAGTTTCTAGCCAAAATCGGCATGCGGAAGCTCCGTAGAGTCTTCATCTGAGTGCCGAGCCTCTCGAAGCAGAGGTCTACAACCTCTAACGTCAGCATACAACGAGGTCGGGAATAACCAAACCTCAGACCCCCGAGTCCCACGCCACTTCAAAAGCCGAATTCGAAGCGCGGCAGCTTGCCACCCAGGGCTGCTTGGCAAATTGCAGCCCACTCCCCTTCCTCTTGCCAAACCACAAAAGGGTGGTTTAGGCCCTTCAAGCTACTCTCTCGGCCTTCTCACATCGTCAAGCTGGGCAGGCCCAAGCAACGCAAAAAACTAAGCATCAACCACTGAAACACTTTGTGCAGCAACCTCTCACACAGCCATCCGCTAAATTTGGTGCGACATCTAGCAAGCACTTACGTGCACACTAATCTAGTGTTGTAGAAGCGTTGGGAAATTATCGCACACGCCACATCCCGCTCCACTCCGCGATGTGCGGACGAACGGTCCCCAGGTGCTAGCTTGGAGGGCATCGGAAATACCATGCTCCAAAAACTCCCCATGCCGCCGCCTGCCCACAACCACCCCCCCCTCCCCCCCCCTCCCCTCCCCCACTCTGGACATTCAGCTGCTCTACACGGTTGCGGAAGTCCTGTTTGCATACGGCCAATGCTTATGAATGCAATAGTATTACTCTACTCTATATTAGAAAGGCAAGAACAAGGCATGCTAGAAAGCAGCCGGAAAGACAAAGAAGTGACATACCATGTTGGAGTAAACCACGTATTTAGAGTGGCCAGGATCTAGAGTTTGTAGAACCAAGAGCAAAACGTCAACGGAAGACTTTACACCTTGTATTGGAAATGTCAGAAATGACAAGAATAATAATGAGTAATACATGCATATTTATAGTCTAAGAAGTACCTATTCAGGATGTACCTGTTCGCAGTGTATCGCGACTATTCGCGTGATATGACTAGTGACTGCTCGTGTGATTGAGAGTGGCGTGACCCTTCGGGTAACTAAACGCGCGAACATACTGTTCCCGCGTTGACTCGCTACTACTGACATCATCACGCGCATCCTTTCATATGAGGTATCACGCTACTAGTACAGTCTAAGCATTATATCAAGAATACATAAATGGTAACTCTATCGACTATACTTTAAAGCAAATGCCACTAGTACAGTCGAATGGTATTTATTTTGTCTTCTTTCTTGTCTCCCAAATACAAATCTGTGAGCATAGTGTTGGCGGTACTGACGAAGCAGATGCCACTCTCCATCAGCTGTGCTTGAGACAGAAGGTTGAAGCTGAGACGTGAAACGATGAGAACCTTGTTCAGATGAAGGGAAATTCCCGTCTCATCGGAGTCAAGTAAAACATATCCTGTTGCCTCAAGTTTCTCATTGTTAGCCACTGTAATGTTGTACTTCTCTCATTTTGGCAGGTCTCGCCAGTTGAGAAGATAGCGATTTAAAGACGCCATACAGTATGATGACCACATCAACTATCAAGAAGCCACGTATTAACATGCTCGGGATATGCGCGCTTGGCGATATGGGTGTACGGCTGCACGTTCAAATGCCGAGGAAAGCCAGTGGACTGTTCCGATTCTTCTTCAATTGCTGGTTCCATAGTCTCAGGACAGAGGCGAAGACACGGAGGTATGTTTTTGGGTACTTCCACATTTATGTCACTGTCTCAGTCAAGTTGTCGTCTCCAGTAATGTACCGCTAGACCAGTGAGGTCCAATCGTACAAATTTTGCAGATTGAGTTGAAGAAGCTGAAGACGACAAGAAAATCTTGACATGGGCGGCTTCACCCGACTTTTGCCGATTCCTGTTTTTCAGTTTCTGACACTCTTCAATATTATTACCCGCTCGTTTATAGAACTTGCAGTAGCCCTTTCCTTCTTTTCTTGACTGCTCCCATTGACTTGGTCCACCTTTGTCTGCTCCCCTTGACTTGGTCCATGTGTATAAAAGCTCGATTCGCTCTTAGTTTTGCCTGCTTTTATGCTGTACAGGTCCAAGTTCCACTGCTCTTCCATCAGGGTAGCAGAAAGTGACGTTTCTGAGATGTTTCCTTGGGAATGAATAAGAGACTTGCTCTGCCTCCACTCGGCTCTAGGAGGATAGTGACAAATAAGTCAATGCTAAGGTCTCCTCCGCATTTGCCTATCTGGTCCCGAAGTGTTTTGCACCTGTTGATGTAGATATCGACTTTTTCTCTCGGAAGCATTTGTATAGCTGTAATTTGACTTAACAGCTTGCTCTGTGTGATGGAATCCTGTGCTTGATATACCCTTCGCGGGTAATCCTAGGCGTAGAAAGCTGGAGCAAGTGAAGGTTTGAAACACCGAACTCCCAACTGCTCTTCAGGTGAGAGATTCAGTACCAGTAGTGTTTAGGCCATAAGGGAATACTTGTAATAACGCGCATAATCTTCGGCTGTTCCTGTTTCAGGATAATGGATTGAACCGTCAAAATATCCCCAGATACCTGAAGGCTGCACGAGGAATTCAATATCGAACCCCCAAGTATAGAAGTCGTGGCCGTTGAAGTGTGTTGATGTCTTCAATTCAGAAATGGTATGAATGTCTGCTTGATTTACAACTGCTGGTGCTCCAACAAGCGGTCTATCTTTTGCCGTTTGATGTTGCTGCTAATGTTTTTGCTGATGTTGTTGTTGATGTTGTTGCTGATGTTGTACACGTTGTCCATAAAAGGCAAATGACCCAGAAGATTCATTTCCAGGGATGGAAGGCCCAGCAGCAACTACACCTGTTGCATAACTAGAGTTATGAAGGCTCAGAGAAGCGGTAGGATGCGCTTGAGGTTGTTGTTGTTGCTGAGTAGATTGATTAGCCATCATAGTAGCCTAGCCAGAAGATTGTCAGCAGATAGAGCAGAAGTAGGAGATTTCATAGATGGTTTTCCTGTCTTTTTAACTGACATAATGAAAGATCTCTAACTTAAGCTAAGTTATGAATGGGACTGCCGATTAGCGCGGAGGGCAATGGCGAAACTGTGAACGAGTGAATGACAATAAAATGAAAGACAATACAATATATAGAAAGCCTAGGGTGATCCTGGACGTAGGATCCGAAGGTTCGGGAAAAGTATCGAAGGGCCTCGATGTGTCGTAGCGAGGTCCGGAAAGGCCCAGGAGGCTCGAACTGATAGGTCTGGAACCCTAGCGATGGTTCGAAACTGTTCGAGTCGTACGCCTTGTAGCAAGCCTTAGTAAGGAATTACTCATTCCTTACAAATGGTGTAATCGAATTCAGCGTGTAACGGGTTCCTGTAACTCTACTTGCTCAGAATACCATGTTGGAGTAAACCACGAATT